AATTACTTAAATACTTCAAGTAACTTTACTTTATTAAAACACGTCACGCGAGTCAAAGTCCAATCGTGTGTTCTGATTATTTTTAATTTATAAGTCAAATGGCTGTGCGCCTCGAGGCTCCGACATCAACAGCCGCTCTGGTCAATGGCCATCAAAATCAACAGCCGCGCAAACGAACCGGATCACATTTGATACACTTACAGAACGCCATCGCACGGCGTTTATATGAAATGCTACGTAACGATGTTGTCGTGGATTGTAACGCGTTCACCATTGTTGTTTTTGCTGTGGTTCTCGTGACGGGCGCGGCTCTCGCGAGATCTCGGTAACCCAGAAGGGGCGGGGTCTCAGAGACGGCAGGGCGGAAGCACGCATCAGACGGAGGAGGGAGACGGAGAAGTTGGCTGTGACATTCAGTGGCGCGGAACACGAATCACAGCTCAGCAGTGCCGTGGAGTCGAAGACGGCGACAACAGCTATGGCGAACGAAGCCGACATCCTCTCGCTCTACGTGGCCATGGCGAACATGACTTTCCAAGGTGCGTGCCACTATCGCACAACACAGCAGCAATAACACACAACGCAAACCTATAACATACAAAACACACATCAGCATTAATGTACAACATACAGCACTGGCGCACATTTATTATAATGTAAGTTCACAAATTAATATTCTCCTCCACTGACTCAGATTTTAGTCCCCCACCACCGTGTCCACAGAGCATGAAGTGTGCATGGAGACCCAGGCTACAGCCAGGAGTCCTCATAGAGGCCCCAGACCCCATATGTTTGAGGAGTTGTCTGGGTTCCCCGCACGTGGTGGTGGAAAGAGAGGCGAATATGCACACCATATGGGCACCTGGAAAACAAGGAATGGTGCAGGATGGACACGAGGTGATGGCGGAGGCTCTTGTAGTAGCGGAGGACGAGATGCTAGAGATGGCCGAATCCCCCGCTCCCATCGTATGAGTGGACGTGGAAATGTGGACAAGGGGGATAGGTCGGGTTCCTGCCAGCGCCGGTAAGTTTAACTGAGCGCACACCGTGCATGTGTGTGCAGAGGGGACGCGGTGATTAGGCCACTGCACTATGTACCTGGGGACCTTAGTTTGATTTCCAGCGATGGCTAGATCAGTGGAGATTGATATATGAACCGGTCCCCGGGCCTGCCCAAAGTCGATTCGTACCTGCTGCATTGTGAAAACTTTAGCAGCAATGGGGCAGTGAAGGCGGCCGGGTGCGGCTGACCAAACCACCCACCCCTTTACATGCCATTTAGGCCTGAATAGGCGCTCACTGACATCACTTGCTCTTACAACCTAGGTAGGCTACAAGAGGGTTATTTACTCTATATGATCCAGAAGGCCACCACAATACTCTTTTCCCATAGCGGTGAATGAGGCTCTCACCTCAATCCTCGGAGCCCTCATCTGATTCTCCATGGTGCGCACGCCCTGGTTTTCATACAGCATCTAGAGATGTGTTCGAGTTAGACGCTATATACATCCATCAGTGTTTAGCTATTGCGTTCTTTTTAGAGTCGGGGCATAATTTCAGCTGGGTCTGTCTGGGTCAGTAACATTTTGACTAATAACCACAACCTGGCGCACCACATCCAGTATACATCTTGCTCTGCCTGTGGCTATTAGTCACGTTCCTATTATAGTCGACTAGCGACCTAGAATATAATGCAAACCTCGAGTGGAGCCTGGACACTGCCTCTGTCTGGGCAAAGCGCAGGTTTTTCTCATGTGCCTAATTCTTGCCCTCATCGCTGATGTTCTGTGCTGTTGTGTTTTGTTTGTGGTGCACCTGCGTTGCCACCACCAGCGGGCCCTATACGATGTCCATCTGCAAGGCGCTGCGGCAGCAGCTGCTGGTGGCCAAGCGGCGCATCTTCAAAGCCGATTCTGCGGTGCCAAGCCAATTGTGCTGGTTCGAGATCTCGGTAAATGTACTGGGGGGTGTGCAAACGTGGAGATGGAGCATCCTAGGTATCAGGTTTTGAGAAAGAAATGCCAATTATAAAAGGTTAACAGTTGCACCAAAATAATTATAGAATATAGAGACTTGTCATTTTGGTGACCCAGGTCACTCTCGGAAATGTATGCATTTAAACTTATTTCACACCATACATAGCCAACCATGCTGACCGGAGGTGCGGGAGGACAACTAAACACAAAAAGTAGTTCTAGAGAAATGAGTTGTCAATTTATATTTAAGAGTGCATAGCTCCAGTAGCTTCGTAATATTGGAAGAGCGTTCCAGAAGGCCGCAGAAGTGCATTTGAATGCGCTCGATGCAGTGACTATCTTTTTTCGATGAGCGGCCAAAAGCCACTACGAGGATGACTGGAGCTCACGTGGTGGTTTATGCTCCTTGACAAGAAGTGAACACATCCTGGTCTCTTGAATTCTCAACTGGTTAAACAAACTAAACTTTGACGTTGTAAAGTATCTAGTTTAAATCGGCATGCAACATTGATATATAAGAATAGATATTAGCCTTTCTGGCAATAAAAATAGTGTTAAGATGTTAAAACACCAAATTGAAACCTTTTGCAAGGAATCATGTCTGCATTAACCATATATACTTGTGAACATGGAAACAAAAAACATGCTCTGGTAGTATATGCATTGTCTTTTAAACTGATTGGTCCACACCATAGACAGCTTTCTTTAGAGCCATGCCCTCCTAAACTTGTGATGCTATGACACTTTTCCTATATGGACGCAACCATATATTTATACCTGGTTCAGTTTGTTAACATCACCAATGGGGAGACAAACACAGCTTGGTGTGGTGCTCACCACATCACCGTCTGGTGTACCTTTCCGGCCTTAATTAGTGTTCACAAAGAGCACTCGCTGCCCCCAATACTCTGTAAGCCTAAGCAGGGAGTATTTTCTGTGGTTGGTTGAGCAAACCCACTGCAAACCCACTGCACTGTGGTCCCGGCTCCAGTAATCACCCTGCTGTTAGAGTGGGTATCTGAGCTTGGTCAATTTGACCTAAAATAAACGTACAGGGCCATTACGTAGACAATGTTAGCAGTGACAAAGACAGCCAGGTCTGTGTGTTACTATGCCCACTGCTGTGCCAAGTCAGCTCAGCGCGGCTCAGGCGGCGACAGGTTGTTTTTCCACTGCAAAAGCCGTGTCACTGAGTGACACGCAATGCGTGTAGATGACATGGTGATGTTGTGTCCTCACATTGTGCTTAAAATTGGTGCACCCCAACAGACCCTATCATAGCAGCCAGTTTATGCTAATGGGGGATGCGACATGTGCGTGTTTTTTTTTACAGGAATGTTTGAGTCAAAAATATGACCCTACCAACAAAGCTCTGGACTTGAAGGCGGTCAGAATTAATGAAGGTAATTGAAACAAACATTTGTGTTATTTTACGTTTACTTTGCACTCCTGCACATTGACAACTTGTCACAACTCAGCTTTATTATTTGAGCCGAGAATCGTTCATACTGTTTCTTTAGTCTCGATGGTTCTAGTTTATTCATCCTGTTAGCCTAAAGATATCATTGTCATGTCATTTGAACTAATATTTAATTAATTCATCCTTATGCACATCACTCACTGTACGCATCGCGAGGGTAGGAGTTGAGTTGAACGCAACGCGTAATGAACCGTTGTGTGTCTACGGTCCCCGTCTACAACATGCATGATCACCCTCCCCCACTCCCCAGAGCTGGAGGCACGTGGTGTCGACCTGGTTTTGAACCGGAAGGACCACATGGATGGTCTGAACAAGATCATTCGAGAGAATATACCAATGGTACGGCCTTCTCCTCTCCCCACGTGTTTTAATGCTTTGCACCTAAGGTATAGTGTTGCTGCGTTAGCTCTCTTGGTCCATTCGTCTGTAGGGCATTATTACTCTTAAAACACATTCCTGCAGAGGGAGCTGGTAGGAACGTTGCTTGCCTCGAATGATGGCTCAACGAATTGGCGGCTTATAATTTAGAGATTGTGAGCAGCCGCATACTCCAAACGCATGTTGTTGATTCTCCACGTGGAGGGAAAAATGTCGTGAAGATGGCCGGACGTGGTTGGTGGCCACCCACCCCCTCGTGTGTGCCGTGGCCGCCTTCCCCACCCTGCCCCTCCCTCCCCACCCAGCCCCTCCCCACCCTCCCCTCTCCACCCAGCCCCACCCCTCCCATTTTTGGATGTACGACGGACGGACACAATAATCCCCTGTGGGCTGGGTGGAACCAGGAGGTTCCTACCAGTACAAAATACGTACCAAACTGCAGTATAATGTGGCATTGGTATTAGCGACTAGATTAATTAGTGCTGGATTAGAGGCGCGTGTCGCCACACATGGACGTTGGTGCGTGCTTCATGGTTGCGTAGCCCCCATTTTACCTAGCGGTCATCGCCGACCATCGACTTGAGATAAAACCAAAACGAGGCACGGCACGACATTTACATTGCTGCTATTGCTGCTAAACCGTAGGTGGTGGCACTGCGCTGCGCTACGAACCTAGCGGCCCAAGTTTCTATTCCCGCTCACGGCCAAAATCAGTGACAATTATTCTGAACCGGTCCTGGGCTTCCACTAGGTCGACTCAGCCTCAAATGAGTACCTAGTGCGGTGAGTAAACATCGCCACTGGGGAGACAAAGGCGGTCGGCGTGGTGCTGGCCACCCACCCCCTCGTGTGCCATCCTGGCCTTCATAGGTGCTCGCTAACAGCACTTGCTCCTACATTCTGTTAAGGCTATACTGGAGATCTTTGTCTTTTGCCTCCCTTAGAGGGGAGCGGTAGTGCAGTTGTTCGCACGCTGCGCTATGAATCGAGCGACCAGAGTTCGATATCCGCTCACGGCCAACACCAGTGACGATTATCTGAACCGGTCCTGGGCCTCCTCTAGGTCGACTTAGCCTCAAATGAGTACCTAGTGCAGTGTGTAAACATCACCACTAGGGAGACAGAGGCGGTCGGCGTGGTGCTGACCACCCTTATGTACCGTGCTGGCTTTCATAGGTGCTCGCTCACAACACTTTCTGCAAAAGACTGTTAAGGCTATAAGAGGGACCTTTGTCTTTTCTGTGCCTCCCTTGCTCTCCACTCCCACAGATCACATCCCTGAATCTAACGTGCAATGACCTGCACCGGTTGGATGACCTGGCAAAACTTGCCCAGCACACTCCATCTCTCAAGAAGCTGAACCTCTCCAAAAACAATGTGGGTGTGAGCGCCCGTTCAATAAATCGCGACGCGACGCTCGCATGCCTGGTGCACCTCTGGTGCGAGCGTCGCGTTGGTTCAGATTCCTCGCCACAGCGAGTCGACCGTTACGCGATTCAATCCAAGTATCGATATACCTACTATTATATTTTATATCGTCTCCTTTTGTTTTGGTACTTGTTCATTTCCGATTTGCTTGATATTATTTTAAGCATGTATTGGGTATCAGATATGCCTTTAATTTCTGGAAACACGTAATTAATTATTTAAATGCAATAAATACACAAATGTGAAACGTACCATTGCAGTTTAGTACATCAACATGTATCACCTATGGGTGGTACCTGTTGATGTACTTTGTACAGTAGGCCTGCAACTCCGCATCAATACGTCAATTAACTTCAGTCATTGCACTCACAACACATGCACCAAATAGTGTGTAGGAACCAGTTCTTTATTATTCATGCAAATTATATGCACGTTAAATTAGGCTAATGACACATAAGAGACAGACAAGGCAGACAACTAATTATATGGACAAAACATATTGGGCTGCATGAACAAGATAGGCAACAAGACAGTGCAAACAAGAGAGTACAGTGAGACATACGATGAGACGGTCAGTACAAATGGGACACAGTACATACTGGACAGGACAGACCACACAAACAAAATACAATTAATACAAACAAAAGACGAAACATAGCATGGACTCTTGAATTTGACCATTATGCTGAAATGGGCTAATTAATCAATTAAGTTGAGAGCTGATACATTCACTTAGAATATGTGATTGCAGTATTTGGCCTCCTTTGTTAACCCTTTTCAACGAATATTGAAGGAATTTCTGCATTGACTCTGCCCATTCGTAATGGAGGGCAATGTAACGTTCATAAAATGTGATCCAATATAAACGAAATGTTTGTATAATGTGGTGTTACTGTCAAGGACACACCCAACTGAATACCGCACACCATTGATGAAAGGATTAACCAAAAGAGATGCAAACTATAGCACAAGGGACTGTTTACAAATATGCATACACATTTTGCCGTGACAGCTGCGCGTCAGCTTTTGCACGCTAAGGCAAATGCATTCTGCAAAGCGTTACAATCCATGCGTGGGCATGGATTGTAATGCATAACTTGTGGTAAGTTGCCCAGAAGCATGGCCCTTATGCCCCTAATTGTATGGAAATATCTCCCCTGCCATGCAGCTCAAAGATGTGAGGGAACTTTACCCACTGAAGGCCTTCAATTTGAAAGAGCTATGGCTGAAGGGGAATCCGCTGTGCGACTCCTTCCACGACCCAAATGCCGACATCAGGTACCGCTCCTTTGTCATGAATGCGACATTGCCCGCTTACCCATTCGCCTGTCCGTCCACGTAGCTGCCCACTCACCCAGGCACTCACTCGTCCTCATGCTTATCCACCCACTCATCTACATGGTTTATCTTTGTGGTTGCCTGTTCAACCGATGGCTCGCCCGCACGCCTACTCCCCCACCCTCCAGCTTCACCCATGCACTCAACACCCCGCTCTCAACACCCCGCTCGCTCATGCGTTCATCCACCCGGTCACTCACACACACTCCCTTGGCCTTTTGTGTCCCATCTCTAACTGCATGTGTGTGTGTCAACAGCTTCGTGCGAAAACACTTTCCACAGCTCGTGATCCTGGTGAGTGACCCTCCACAGATGCCGGCCCTCAAGCTATCCCCACTCTCTGTGATATTTGTGTCTCCGTGCATTCCAGTTTCCCCACATGTGCAAAAGTGCTTGTGATTAGAGGATTTTGCCAAATGCACCAAGTAAAACACTTCTGAAGAAGGTCATCATTACCTGCCTTGGTCAAACTACTGCTGGATGAATACCTCCCCTAAGCCATTGAAATTTCTCATGATTGCGAAATTGTAATAACCCACCTAGCACCTGCCCATGAACAACTGTTAGATGGGTTCCATCTCATTGCTGCATTCTTGATCATCAGCCATTAACCCTTATAATGACGTGTCCTGCCCGAGCCCACTTAAGTTTCTTAACTGTTTGTATAAGAGTTCACTTAAGAAAAGGTTACGTGCAGTTTACAGATGACACAGAGGAACATGAGCAGCTGTTGAATGTCATTATGTTTTTTTGTTTTTGTCCTGCTGGCGGTTATCAACATCATCACTTATTGCTTCAATCATCTATCTCTAACACCATCTTTGACTATCTTCGTCACACATCTACCATCATTACCACAATCATCACTATCATCATCATCATCACAAACACCACCACTATTGCCGTCATCTTCATCCTGACCGCCAACATCATAATGTAATTCCATCATCACCATGATCCCTTTCACCATAACTACTACTACCACAACAATCATTACCATTATCTTCATCACCACGACTACTGTTACCATAATCATGCTCACCACTATAATCAATCACAATCATTATCGCCATGATCTATACCACTTTTTACAACCACTACCTTCACCATTGTCACCATCAGGATGGGCAGATGCTTTCGCAGCTGCGAAGTTCTACGCCTGCGGTGCCCTCCACGCCTGTGGTGGTGCACAGAATTGCGGTACGCTACGTTGCAACAATGAGCAATATTTATTCTCCCAACTTTTCGAGGGCCATGGGGCTCTTTGGCCACAACCCTGGCATTACTCCTACCACTTCCCATCCTCCATTTTGTCCACAGCCAGATGAAAGGGACAATATTTATTTTAAAATTATTATTAGAGGTTTAACGTATGCTTGAAATGGCTTAAGCATATACCAAGCTCTAATCAATCATTTGTTTACATATCCACCATTTTATTTTACCAAACATTGGCAAAAACTTAAACTTAATCAGCAGCAACTTAACGGTTGCACCTCTTGTGCACTGACTTTTGTGACATTATGACTGTTTCCGAAGTCGGCCAACATCAAAGCGTGCAGCTCCCATAGGAAAGCGAGCAAAGCGGCACAATGTAAGGGGCTTACATGACCCACTTGGAGCGGCGTCGCCCATTCAGGCTGCCATGGGATCCAGGCCAGGCCTAGCTATCTGGTTGGCAAACTGGATAGTCATGTTGACGTCTCTCCTGTGTGTGTGCGCGCCCACTCTCGAGTGGCTGCAGGAGAACAGCTGGCAGTTCCAGCAGTGTGCGAACACCCTCATGGAACTGAACGTGAGTGCCGTCCCATCCGCACCATTTATGGACACGACTGATAGCAAACGGTCGGGCGCATTCGCGTTTGACGAGCATCACTAACGATACCGCCCATCTCCCCTTCTATTCCACCCCTCTCTCTCCCCCCTTCCCTCATCACTGTCGCCGTCCGGCTCGGATCTCCGAAAACCACGGTCGCCTACCTTCATTGTTCCTTTTCGTCCGACTACCGGAAGGATTCCACGGGAGGCGTTCGTACAGTGAGCAGGCGTCCGCCGCAGATTGCTGGCGATCTCGGCACACGTTCTCCTACCAACCCTTTCCTCCACAACCCTTGTACATTGTAATTTATTTGTTTTTACCCCATTTGGAGGGAGAGGAAAAAAATAAAAAATAACTATATTTGAAACTGTGTCCTCAAACTCACGACACACTAACACCTTGTACCCTGGTTGTTATTTCCCCCCACCTATAACCATGACATCACAGGACGCTGGCATGACGCAATGGTTGGTACACAATCCAGAAGTCGCTAGTTTGATCTGTTTTCGTGGTAATCAATGGAAACGTTTCCTAAATCCATCCGGCTTATATCCACACAACCGATATGCTTGAGTGGATAAACAATTGGAAGAACGCAAACATCCCAAAGAAGCGCCTCATTGTGGATCAAACCATCAGGAAGCTCACTGGCCCCCCACCACCGCAAGCAGTGGGACTCCATACATCAGATCCAACCTGGCCATGGCAGGAGAAATTTCCTCCACAAATTGAAAAAAAAAGTGTCACCAAAATGCCACTGCAGGGCACCGCAACAGTGGAACACGTGCACACACCAGGAAGCTCTCTTGACCTGGTGAAGACCTCCAATACCAATAAGAGGCCACGGTCTTGGGTTATTCTTTGTGCTTTTGGGGTCCCTGACTGTTCACAATCATTAAGGACCATTATGGTGGGAAGGCCCGTGTAAACCTACGGACCCGAGTGTCAGAGCCATTTCGTCCTGTTTACCGTGGGGTGCGACGGGGATGTCATCTGGCTCCGATACTATTTCACATAATTCCCGGTCGTGGCCAATAGCAGTAGTAAATTATATTTGAACCGGCCCTACTCCTCCCCTAAGTCGACTCAACCTTAAATGAATACCAGGTGTGGTTGGTAAAAATCAGCGCTGGGGAAACAAAGGCGTTTCGGGCAATAACACCCCAGCATGACAAGTTTGCGTCTGACTGGCAGTTTCTTAGCACAAGCCACTGTATAAAGTACAGACGATATGCATCTGACATTATATTCTCAGCATTTATGCGTTTATGTTTATAAGCAGTGTTTAGTAATAATTTTTAAAGAACCTCAAAATACTCAACTTAATTTTCGTTCATACGGTGAAAAAAAAATGCAGTGCTGCTCAGCGGATTCAGAGTGAGACAACTGCTGCCAAACTGGAGTTGGTTAGAAGCACACTGCCCAGGTACGGAAACTTGTCTACTTTCTGTACTATTGCCCCATCACTCACACGATGACAAACATCCCCCCTATACCCTTAACAGACTGTTGGGGCAGGTGGTGTTAGCGAGCACCTATTAAGGCTGGCATGGTACGCGATGGGGTAGATGGCCAGCACCATGCCCAACTGCCTTTGTCTCCCAATTGGCGTTGTTTACACACCGCACTAGATACTCATTTGAGGCTGAGTCGACCTAGGGGAGGCCCAGGACCGTTTCAGATAATTGTGACTGGTGTTGACCTTGAGCAGGAATCAAACTCAGGTCACCGGATCTGTCGCGCTGCGCGCTAAATACGTATCATCATCATCATCACTGATATGGATAGGTGAGTCGATAGAAATTACATTTAATTCAACAGTTAATGGGCCAATTAACCAGTAGTTAATTAAATATGGGAGCAGTGGTTTACACACTGAAATATTAATTTGGAGACCCGAGTTTGAATCCAGCAATGTGACTGAGACATCGAGTGACGGAGACGAGACTGAGACAGCAAGCGACGGAGAGAGACAGAGACATCGAGCATCGGAGAGAGACGGAGACAGCGAGCGATGGAGAGAGACAGAGACATCGAGCATCGGAGAGAGACGGAGACAGCGAGCGATGGAGAGAGACAGAGACATTGAGCGACGGAGAGAGACGGAGACATTGAGCGACGGAGACGAGACGGAGACATCGAGCGACGGAGAGAGACGAAGACATCTAGCGACGGAGACATCGAGAGACGGAGACATCGAGTGATGGAGAGAGACGAAGACAGCGAGCAACGGAGAGAGACGAAGACAGCGAGCGACGGAGAGAGACGGAGACAGCAAGCGACAGAGACGAAGACAGCGAGCGACGGAGAGAGACGGAGACATCGAGCGATGGAGAGAGACGGAGACAGCGAGCGACGGAGAGAGACGGAGACAGCGAGCGATGAAGAGAGACAGGGACGACACAAAGGGACAGTGAGGGATAGGGGAAGGAAGCGGAGTGAGCGAGACGGGCAGAGTGCGGCGAGCGAGCTGCGGCTAAGCGGAATGACGGAGTCACAGACGTACTGTGAAGAGTTGTAATACAAGATGTGTCGGAGAAAACAAGAAAGTTGTTCGCGTCAAGTCGACCACTACAAATATAACCAACACTACCAAGACTTGGCCCACCCTGTTGGAGACGACGGCCCATTATCACCATTAACATCACTACCACCATCAACATCACCATCACCAACATAATTAACTATCATCACTGCCATTACCGTAATTAACATCACCATCAGTAACAGACATAGCATCACCATCATCACCAGCACCATCACTCAGCTCACTATACAGGGAGGGATGTACCGGTTCCAACATCATGTGGAGGTGTGAGGTGGTGCGAGGTGGTGTGATGAGGTGTGACAAGGCGTGTGGATGTGTGAGGTGTGTGGATGAGCGAGGGGGTGAGAGAAGATGGAATCAGGGTATATGGAAGGGCGTGAAGGTCTGGAGATGAGGGGCGTGAAAGTGTGAAGAGCGGTGTGGTGTGTCGTGGTGGCGGTGGTGTGTGGTGGTTTGTCGTGGTGCGTGGTGGTGATGGTGCGTGGTGGTGTGTGGTGGTGTGTGGTGGTGCGTGGTGGTGCGTGGTGGTGATGGTGGTGGTGCGTGGTGGTGTGTGGTGGTGTGTAGTGGTGCGTGGTGGTGCGTGGTGGCGCGTGGTGGTGTGTGGTGGTGTGTAGTGGTGGTGGTGTGTGGTGGTGCGTGGTGGGGCGTGGTGGTTTGTGATGGTGCGTGGTGGTGTGTGGTGGTGTGTCGTGGTGCGTGGTGGTGTGTGGTGGCGTGTGGTGGTGCGTGGTGGTGTGTGGTGGTGCGTTGTGCTGCGTGGTGGTGTGTGGTGGTGCGTGGTGGTGTGTGGTGGCACGTGGTGGTGTGTCGTGGTGCGTGGTGTTGCGTAGTGGCGTGTGGTGGTGCGTGGTGGTGTGTGGTGGTGTGTGGTGGTGCGTGGTGGTGCGTGGTGGTGTGTGGCCGTGTGTCGTGGTGCGTCGTGGTGTGTGGTGGCGTGTGGTGGTGCGTGGTGGTCCGTGGTGGCGCGTGGTGGTGTGTGGTGGTGCGAGGTGGCGCGTGGTGGCGTGTGGTGGTGCGTGGTGGTGTGTGGTGGTGTGTGGTGGTGGTGGTGTGTGGTGGTGTGTGGTGGTGTGTGGTGGTGCGTGGTGCGTGGTGGTGCGTGGTGGTGTGACCGTGGTGTGAGGTGGTGTGTGGTGGTGAGGTGTGTGGTGGTGCGTGGTGGTGTGTGGTGGTGTAAGGTGTGTGGTGGTGGTGTGTGGTGGTGTGTGGTGGTGTGTAGTGGTGGTGGTGTGTGGTGGTGCGTGGTGGTGCGTGGTGGTGTGTGGTGGTGTGTGGTGGTGCGTGGTGGTGTGTGGTGGTGGTGTGAGGAGGTTGAGGAGGTATGAGGAGTAGTCCACGTCGCGCTGCTCGTTGATGACGTCGAGCGTTGCCGTCTGGCTGTGCCGCTGGTTGCAGAGCGAGCAGCTGGGCGTGCGGCACCAGGAGGAGGAGGAGGATCAGTTCACGTGTCTCCTCCTCCTCCTCCTGCTCCTCCTCCTCACCGTGCTCCAAGCAGCGCGGCTCCGCGTCCTTGCGGCCGCCGGGGCCCCTGGGGGCACCGCCACCACCACAACAACGACGACGACGAAACTAGGACAACAACAATAACACTGGCACAACAACAACACTTGGAGGATGACAGCACAGAGATAACAATAAACAACAACACTGGGACAACAGCGATTCCAACAACGACGACGACGCTGCGTGGAGAATCACAACAGTGATGATGACGGTGACAGCGATGACAGAGACAACAATGAACACAACAACACTGATCACAACCACTACAATAACAACGTGGCCATTAGCACCACCACCAACAACAACACGGGTTGCCATAGTACTACAACCACACCCCACAATAACAACCACCACCATCACCAACAACGCAACTACCAGACAGAGCAACAAGGTGACTGACCAGCCTTGCCCTCTCCTGCTGTGCTGCCTTGCCCACCATGCCCTGAGACTGCCCTACCCCTGCCCATCTCCAGCTTTGTCCTCCTCTACACTACCCCACCCAGCCATACGCCTCTACCCCAATACTCTACCCTACACAGCCTTGCCCTCCCTGCCTCCTACCCTACTCTAAACCCTGCCCTTCCCTCCTCTCCTTCACTGCCCCCTACACCTGCGCCCTGTCCCCCTGGCCCAGTCGTGTCCTGCCCTTTTTCACTGCCCTGCCCCGTGCCCCCTGCCCTCACGCTGCTGCTGCTGCGTGTAGATGTGGATGATGTTGTAGAGGAGGAGGCTGTGTTGGAGGTGTACACGCCGTGGCGGTGCAGCACCACCTCCTGGCGGCACCACGGGCCCCCCCCCCCGTACCCCCAAGGAGGGTGGGAGGGGTGTGACAGTGAACAGGTGAGCGTGCAGGCCAGTCACTGCACAGGTGAGTACTGTACAGGCAAGTGAGCGTACAGGCGAGTGCACAGGCGAATGAGTATACAGGTGAGTGTGCAAGAGAATGTACAGGTGAGTGAGCGTTCATGCCAGTGTACAGGTGAACGTGCAGGTGAGTGTCACAGGTGAGCATACAGGCGAGTGTCACAGGCGAGCGTTCGGGCGAGCAACTGCAACGCGTCGTTGCCGCACTTGTGGCCCAGGTTGTGCTGGCAGGGCACGATGACCACGGGCTTGGAGAACATTTCCAGGCAGAGGGGGCACAGCTGCTGACGTGCTCCAGGTGGTCGTAGCGCGCCTGGGACTCGCGCATCAGCAACGACGTCCGGCCCTGCACAGCGCCTCTGCACGCTCATCGCTACAGCTGTCACGCACAGGCAGAAAGCCTCCCCCTACAGCTGTCATGCACAGGCAGAAAGCCTCGTCCCTACAGCTGTCACGCACAGGCGGACAGCCTCGTCCCTACAGCTGTCACGCACAGGCGGACAGCCTCGTCCCTACAGCTGTCACACACAGGCGGACAGCCTCGTCCCTATAGCTGCCACGCACAGGCAGACAGCCTCGTCTCTACAGCTGTCACGCACAGGCAGACAGCCTCGTCCCTACAGCTGTCACACACAGGCAGACAGCCTCGTCCCTATAGCTGCCACGCACAGGCGGACAGCCTCGTCCCTACAGCTGTCACACACAGGCGGACAGCCTCGTCCCTACAGCTCTCACGCACAGGCAGACAGCCTCATCCCTAAAACTGTAACGCACGTGCATTGG